GATAATTTTTCCTCTAATGGGAAGTTTTTCTTCTAGTGAAGGCTTAATTCTCTTGCACCTTTTAATGAACCCTCAAACCTATTGCCTACTTAGTGGAATCTAATGAAAATGATCTATTTATTTATTTAATTTTCCTGACAATTTCAATTTTTAAATATTCGTATTTAACAAAAATATGCTTAGGACTTTTCACCTTTATAATCCTTACAGTGTGGATGTGGTTTCTGTGTACTTCCCTGAGGTCTTTCCATATTAGGAAGTGATTATTATAATCTATGAATTATGGCTTCACTCATTTTATATTATACACTTGTTTAAGAAAGGTGTTTTGCTTTGTTTATAGGCATCAATAGATAATAGTGTTAACTAGAGTCTCTAGTGTGTCTAGAGTTGTCAAACTTGAAACATATTTGTAAAACTGAACATGATTTGCTTTTAATTCCAGGCCTTTTGTGGCCATCTATACTCAAGATAGAAGAATAGCAGCCCCTAAGAGTTCAAACATAAATTTAAAGGACTTCAATTTTCTAGGCACTTCATAACCATTATCTAATTTAACCCTCTCTCTCAGCTATGGGAGAGGCAAGCCATATGCATGGAAAGTAGTCTCTAACTCCAGGTAAAGAACATACAGAATACTTAAAACATCCATAATGATTGAAGTATAGACAAACACAGTTTTTAAATTTATAAATTCTTAATTAGAAAACATTCTTAACATTCTAAAGATTTAACAACCTTTAGTTTTGTTTTTTTATATGAATAATTTTCTTTAATTTACTGTCCTTGGGCATTTACATGATGACATTTCACTGGAATATAACATTTATGTTAATGGCTGTAATGGCTTCACTTTTTTTTTTTTGTTAATCCTCATCCAAGGATATTTTTTTCAATTTTTTTTTTTTTTTTTAGAGAGGGAGGGGGGAAAGAGAAATATCGATGTGAAAGAGACATACCTATTGCTTGCCAGGGTGGCAACCCAAGGAATGTGTCCTTGATTGACCTGGAATTGAACCCATGATCCTTTGATACCCCAGCTGACGCACTGACCATTGAACCACACCAACCAGGACTGGTTTCACTTTTTTAACCATATATTTTCAGTTAATTTTCAGGGACACTTCATTCCAACCACCATCTGCCTTACATTCTCTACAACAAAATCAAGGTCGTGTTCTTATTAAGTGTCTATTATAAGCATATCTCTATGGCAGATATATAGGGTGTCCCAAAATTCATGCAAGAAGTAATTTTGATAGAAAACACAGGTTTATAATTAAAAATTGTAAATTAATTATTGATTCATAAAGTATACAGTATAGGGTTATGTACGGAATAGCACATCAGGTAAATAGCCTCCATGGCTTTGCTGGCACATACACAAAGCCGTGGTCTTTATTGGTCTTCATTGTCCCTGCTCCTGGGCCATAATTGGTACTTGGTAATGCTTATCAAATTGAAGGGATTGAAATCAAAGGGCAACAGATACTAGAATCTGATTCAATAAACCAAGTAAAATTAGGCTTTTATTTTTTCTGTTGTTAATGCTCACGCAAAATTCAAATCTTGCGTGAATTTTGGGACACCCTATAGTATGTATTTCTGTGGATTTTTTAAGAATTTGTGAATCTTGAATATATAGAAGGTGAATTTCAGTTAGTGGTTTCTGTAACCATTGAAAATGTATATAAGATATTGAAATGTACTCAAGATAATTACCTTTTTAAGCAGACGTTTTGATTTTTAAAATCTTGTTGAAAGTATTACAAATATCCCCTTTTTCTCCCATTAACACCCCCTCTAGCTCGCCTCCTGCCTCTGTCCTTCACCATACTATTGTCTTTGTCCATGGGTTGTGCATATATGCATACAAATTATTTGGTTGATCTCTTCCCATAGATGTATTGATTTTTAATGTCTTGAGATCCAATGGGTGCTTTGTTTGCATACTGTCAAGAAAGTGGCTAGTAACCAGGATTTGATTTGCAAGATGCATGTGAGGAAGATATTAAGTGGAAAATCTGTACCAAGATGTCTCTTGTTTAGAAAAAAAGTTACTGGGGCTTTCCAAATGGATCTTGTTTCACAGTTATTTTATAGTTAATGTATGGGCTTACTATTCTTTCCCATAAGAATTAACCATCCTATATAATAAAAGGGCAATATGCAAATTGATGCTAACGCAGAACAACCAGGAATGACTGGTTCTATGATGCACACTGACCACCAGGGGGCAGACGCTCAATGCAAGAGCTGCCTCCTGGTGGTCAGTGTGCTTCCACGGGGGAAGCACAGCTCAGCCAGAAGCTGGCTCATGGCTGGTCATCCCCCGAAGGCTCCCAGGCTGCCAGAGGGATGTCTGACTGCCAACTTAGGCCCGATCCCCCGGGGAGCAGGCCTAAGTCGGCAAGTGGACATCCCCCGAGGACTCCCGGGCTGCCAGAGGGATGTCTGACAGCCAACTTAGGTCCAAATCCCCTGGGGAACGGGCGTAAGCCGTCAATTAGACATCCCTGAGGGGTCCCAGACTGTGAGGGGGCACAGGCCAGGCAGAGTATATGAATTTTCGTGCACTGGGCCTCTAGTATGGCTTATATTTTCATTTTTTATTATTTGACCTATTCTGTCACTTAGTCTTTAAGAGTTCTGAAATACAGAAAATGATAATGGAGTCATTTAAGTGGATATTGATAAAATCTGACTAAGTTATATGACAAATGTCAAGAACCTGAGTTACATAGTAGAACTCCATAAATGTAAAAGTTTTTTTCCTCCATGATCTATCTAATTATGTTACGGAATACTATGTATTTTAAAAGAGAAACTGAAGAGAATGTGACATACAGCCATTTTTGTAGCTGCCTTATTTATAACTAGAGGCCCGGTGCACGAAATTC